CCAGCTACCCTGTCAGCAGGCAGTTCTGGGCACTGGCAGGGAGCACACCCGGGGAGCCCGAGCCCTAATCCCAAACCCGAAACATCGCTGACTCAGATCACCAGGCCCTGCATCTGCCTGATTAACCGAGAACCAGTTCAAGGGGAACCCACTGCACTTCAGCAGTGCTCCCCAAAAGCTGGTGCCTGCTGCCATGTTTGCACTGCAGAAGTTACACAGATAAAGTAGGAAATAAATAATTTTTAAGATGCTTCATTCACAAGGTAATCAGTGAAAAAGTAATCTCTGCTTTAGTATGTGCATCCTGCTCATTTTGGCATCACACGTAAGCACCCAGGAGGGCCCTGAACTTGGAGAATTGCACGGTCGACCCCAGCCACAGACAGGAGGAATGTTTTTGCAGTCGTGGAAGGATGTGGGTGTTTTGCAAAGGCAGTACCCCGAGAAGGAAGCCAGCAGCAAGGCTCCCTCTCTCCACGGCAGCTGAATTTGAGTTGAAAGCCCTTGTACATCCCCCATTTGGTGACAGTGCCACATATCCCATTTGCTGGCCTTTCAGTGTCCCCTTCCCAGCTCCAGAGGAACCTGAGCTGTTGCAGCTCACCGACGAGACAAGCAACTGAACCGAACACCACAAGGAGGAATTTAATTTTTAAGATGACACAACTGTGTTTCTAAGTTTTTACCCTCAGATCCTGCAAGCTCAGAGTACCCCCTCTACACACCTTTGCTGTTTGTGCAGCCATCCAAAGACAGCCCTGATTTACCACCAAAAGCAAATCCTGCTGGGGTATCCTTGGAGCCTGGGGCTTCCCTGTGGGGCTCTGCAAAGGCAGAGACCTCTTCCCCTCAGGGACAACACAATCCCTGCAAGATTCTGCAGCTGGGAAATGATTCCTACAAGACACTGGGAAAATGGCTAGGTTCATCCCCCACCCGCGGGTGAGCACCTACCCCTTCCCCCACGGTGCCCACCTCCAGAGCCTGCACGCAGAGATAAATAGCCCCTGGCTGGAGCCTGTAACCAGACAAGTTTAGACTGCAAATGAGGCACCAGGTTTTTAAACAGCCGCTGTCATTAATCATTGGAGCAAATCACACAAGGAGGCAGGGGTGCATTCTGCACCGCAGCTCAGCACGGCCTCCCTGGGGTTGCCCCACAGCTGCCCTCGGGGTGTCCCAGACCCATGGCTGGAGCAGGCAACGGATCAGCGCTCTCTGGGCTCAAAAGGTCTGGTCCAGCAGCACTGAACTGCCAAGCCCACCCAGAAACAGCCACTATATATTCACAAAAACCCCTCAGTGCCTGGAGCTGGGACATAAACAGGGCCCTCTGTCCCCAGCCCTGGCTCAGGTCAGCCTGAGCACCCTTCCCTTCAGTGTCCCCTCACAAAGGGGAATTTCTTCCCTTCCCATCTTCCACCCCCAAGAAAACAAGCAGCTCCCAGCAACTCACCCTAGGATGTTCAGCCACTCGGCCATTTTGCTCAGAGTCAGTCCTCAGGAAACCTCTGCTCAGCCTGACAAGGTAACAAAAAAATGAGGCTTACTCTCTGGTCTCCCCTCTCGGTAGGGCTACAAACTGCCTCAAATTCACCCTTCTCCTGGGAAAGCAATCAGGAGCTGCAGCACACCCAAAACACTAGGCAGTTCTCTGAGGCTCGCCTGCCCTTTAATCCGAGTGATCATCTTCAGCTGGGTGTGCACAGCCAAACTGGGTGCAGCTGGACCCCCACCCCTGGCAGTTTATTGCAGCTCCAGGCTGTGTGCTGAGGGCCTGTTTCAGCCTCTTGTCCCAAACACGCTAAGTTCCCTCTCCTGACAAGCTGGGATAGATCATTTATCAGCATTTAACAGCACTAAACAGCACCAGTGGCTTTCTGACCCGTTCTCCTGGCTTGGGTTAGCCCCTTCAGAAGCTCTTTGCAGCCTTCAAGTCTTAACTGTCCAAGAACATTTTATTTTTGGTTGCATGCAAAATTTGCTGCTTCAGCCTTCACTGACTTTGCAAGACCCTAGGAGATATTAAACACAGGTGATTAGACAAGACATGATTCTGGCAAATTATTAGAGACATCTGTAGGAGGCTAATATTCTTCCTATTTCATGAACTGAGAGACTAGAGACCAGAGGTCAAATGATTTTGCTAAAGACTGCAAAGAGCTAAAGGCAGGGCCAGAAACAGAGCTCAGATCTCCAGGCTCCTATTACTTCTGCCCTGTCCCTAATGCACACTTGCTTCTACTCTGTATGGCTGATTTAAAATGAAAATGAAGAATTAACTTCCAAGCTGTTTTTGGAAAGAGAGAAGAAAGGGTGATATTGTCTACTGTAAGGGGAGAATTAAAGATGACATTTCATTTTAGTCCTTTGGATATGCATAATATAATCAAACACAATAGCGGTAATAAATGAATATTTTTTCTCCCCACGGTGCTTACGAGTGCAACATATTCTAACAGTTTCTCAAAACTATGTTGATAAATTGGAAACACAGTGATGGAGGTAACAAAGACAGCCAACAAAAACATAATCCATTCAATTTATCAGAGGGACTAGCTTTGAGAAGAGAACCCTTGCAATCTGAACAGTCCTATTCTTATAAACCAGACAGAATATATTTCCAAATACAAAGCTACGCTTTTTATGCCTGTGCATAAATAAGCATGTTAATTAAAGATTTGTCCAGGCAATCAGGGCTAAATAAATTATTTGGATGTATTTCACCAATTCAGTTCAAGATGGAAGAGGCAGGGTGCCTACCGGAAAGCCACGATGCATGGAAGCACGGGGGGAAACAGTAAAGAGGTGAGGGCCAGGTTTTCAATTTACCAACCCTATTGACTTGCTATCATGAAAAAGCAGTCCCTGGAGGGCCTTCCTCCCACACCCTGCTCACCTTCCATGCAAGTGACAGTCTTACACTGTTAGTTAGTAAGTATTAGTCAGAAGACTAATCCATTGGACGTGTGTGGGCACATGGGATTTCACATGGTCTGGAGTGTTTTTCAGCTCCCTAGTCCATTGGGCATACCTGAGACGTAAGACATCAGAAACTGTTCTGTGAAAACATCTAGAATTTCTTTAGGCATATACACCACACGCAAGGCAGCCAATAAATGAAGTGGGGGGAAATACAGTCAATAAAAGGACTGTAAGTTTAGTCAAAGTTTAGTCTGATTTTTATTCAGTTGCAAAGGGAAAAACTGGAATGATACAGCAGAAGAGGGGTTTGTTTTCTACAGTGTCTTCAGTTTGAAAGGTGGCTCAAAAAGGTAGAAAAACAGTCACACCTGTAAGCAGAGTCCAGCTCCAGAATTGCAATGCCATCTCAACTGTTCAGCACCACTTACAGTATTCACAAAAGTCAGTAGTTAGCTGAAAGAAGTCATAATGTTGTTAGAATCATGGCAAACGAATTTTGAAATGCCCGTCCCTTGGATTTTGAGAGTGTACTTTTCATGTGGATACTAAGAAGAGACCAAAGGAAAGGCAGCTTTGTTCTAGTTGATAAAACCTTGTGGAGCTTTAGAATTATGAAGTGTCCTTTTGAAGTTAGAATGGAGTCATTGATAAGACCATCTAAACCCAAAAGTAATTTGGATAAACTCCTCCTAGCTTCCTAAGATGCCTAGATTATTTCATTGTGATATAAGAAAGCAGTCAAGAAACCTTGGAAAATTAGAAGAGATGGATAAGAGGTTAGTAACAGTAAGAGTTCAAGACCTCTATTATAAATTAAATTATAAGATTACTAAGGTTATTGTAACATGTCTATTACTGGGGAGTAAAACCAAACCTGAGCCAAACTGAAAATTTTAGGAGACTATAGTGCTTTTTCTTTCAAGCTAGGAGGCAGCTAGCGTATGAAAATTTCTTGAATTTGACCTGGAATAAATCAATCACAGCTGAACTCAAAATGGAGTAGAACTGAAAAAACATCAGACTTACACAAACAGTTTAGCATACAATAAACATGATAGTGATATTATATGAAGCACAAGAAATGATCCAGAAGTCATGACTTTGGCAAAATTCATTGACCTTAGATGAGAACGTTGCATGAGCGAAGCACTTGTGTGGGTATTATAAAGTACTATACTGGATAAAATAACTCAGATTGAAACATAATTCAGCAGATGGAAAATGTGATGACTCAAGAGATCAGCGAGACAATGACTATGTCTGGTGGAATTACACATACTCTGAGCATTATTGTGTCCTGGGAAAAATAATTTATGTCACCTTTGATGTCAGGCAAAATTCTCCCAACTGGACATGCACTGAAGCACTGATCTGCACAAGCAGAGGGAGTTTGTGGACACACCCTTGATCTATTAGACTCCCCCAGAATGCAGTAAAGCGGGGACTCACACAGGTATGATAAAGCCAAGGCACCAGGTCTATTGCACTCAAACCTGCCAGAGTTTGAG